AGCCGCCCCTCTCTTCTCCCTCTTCCTTCCTCTCAAACCACAAGTGCTCTCCCTCACCCCTTCATATCTCCTCTCCTTATTGGTGTTCTTTCAACGCCGGCAAGAATGCATGGCAGATCCCGAGATTGACCGCGGATTGGTGTTCGACATCTACGGCGACATCCACATCCCCCGTTCACCGTTCTTCGACGTCGGATTTGGCTCCGGCAACACTGTGGAAGACTATCTGAATCGCATCCTTCCTACTCTCGTGGACGTCGTAGACGATCAATTCCAAGACTACGATTGGATCATCGTCGGCCAGCCACCACCCTCATCACCACCGGCTACCGCTCCACCAACGAAGGTCTTCAACGCCGTCTTCCTAGTGGTAATAGCTTTCTTCATATGGTTCATCTTTCTCCGCTAAAGCCTACAAGTAGTTGAGTGTGAAGGCCTTTGAGGTGAACCTCTCGTTGTTAAACGTTGGATTATGTTATGTGTACTTAGCATTTACTCTTGCCTTGAACTTTGAGGGAATTGTTTGGTTAATTTCCATTGCACTTCTTTGGCCTAAGCAAGTTGATTACTTCATATTCATAATCTTCTTTTATGTGCTAGTGGTAAATTTTCATGAGCAAAGCTTTATTCAATTGTCTTTCTAATTTCTAAAGGTAACTCCTAGTAGTTTCACATCACAAATAGACCCCTAAAACACAATAAAATATCACTTATCAACTTTTATTGAATAACAATAGAAACCTAAAATAGACTTGACATGGAAGAGCACCTTCCCAATGAGGATGATTTTTTGCGAGTTTTTCTCAACAACAATTTCAACTTGAATAAAGTCTTTTGCATTAGGCCTGCTAGTGTAGCTGACAACGTTCACCTGTAGGATGAGTAAGGATACAAATGAGAAACATTCTTTTAAAATAACCAAAGTGACAGGAGCATTTTGAAAAGCAACATGTTCAAGAAGACTGGAAAGCAGCTCTGTAGATTTACCTGGCATGCATAGGGCACTTCGTTTCTATATTGCATAAAGATCTTTTCCCTTACAATTTCTGCAATAAAGAATCTTTCAGGGTGTTCGCTGGCTATGTCCTATAATTGAGAAAAACAAACAACATAAAAGCTCTAGAAATATAGTAAAATTAGATACGGAGTTCTTATAAAGGAGCAGGTAGAAGTAGTGGTGCAGGGGGTTTATCTAGGAGGAGCTTCTGTATCTCTAAGTCCCATCTATCATATTATTTCCATCCGCGCATCTCATTATTGCTTCAAGAGCCATCTTCACAAATCATTCAGCATAAAATGAAGAAATGTATCATTCTTTCAGTTTAGCCCCTCATAAGAAGTAAGATGTTAGTTATTAGTTGGTTCACCCTAACAATTACTATATAAAAATAATGTCCCATCTGTCCATCAAATGACTAGCCCTCACCTAGACTGTTCTTCTCATTATATAAGAAGTAATAGGTATAATGCAATGCAATATTTGAGTGATTTCAGCAATCAAATCTAAGCCTAATAAGGAATCTATGATGGAATTCCTAAAAGAAAAATATATAATTAATTACACATTTTATAGTCATAATTAACAGAGTTAATTTTGGCATATATAGTTGATATCTCCACTCAAATTCATGTTAATTTTTTTAAGCATCAATTTGTCAGCAAGAGATTGATGTTATTGTCATGTCATGGCCTTCACTAATATATCAGCAAGCTAAAAGTTTGTAAGATGAGTGGAAGAGAACTAAAATGAGTGTCAAAAGCTTCCGAACATGAATGAAAGTCAACTGCAATATGTTTTTTTGTGCTCATGATAGAGAAGTTAGCAGCAATTTAAATGGCACTGATATTGTCAGAATGAAGAGTAGGATTATTCTAAGAATAACTAAATTCAAATAGAAGACCATAAAACTAGATATCTCAGAACAGTTGGCAAACCTAGTGCAGCATTAAGACTCCATAAATAATTTAGACCACAAATTCAATTTTAACTTTTCCATAAAATCAAAAAGCCACGCAGATTTTTTTTTTTGTGTGTGTGTGTGTAAGAGCCACTTAGAAATACACACCATCTCGTAACTGACTATGCACTCAGCCTAACCAACATCACTATATGTCATAAGATGAAAAGAATTGTGTAAAGAACAAGCCACATTTTGATATCACATTAGGGTATAGAATTATTCAACGAACAGCAGCTAAAAGTAAATGGTGGAGTTTGAACAAAATGACTAACTTGCTAAACTGCGAAGGAAATATTAAGTCAAGTAATTGTCAAATAATTCAACTTGCCCACAAACCGTGGAAATACAATAAAATTAGGGGCCTGATCACCTTTCTCATTACAATAAATTGTGCTCACCTATAATGCAGTATCCGTACGGTATGTATTTTGAAGGCCATCCGAAAAAAATCAAATATTGTACAGATATTAGCCCATAAAAATGCTAAAGAGATTAATATGAATTTCCAAACCTAAGTAAGAGCACCAAAATTTACCAAATGAAATGCAGTCTGAAGATATTGCTAGAAATGACTTATAAGTGACAAATCTATCGAAATAATAATAATTTCATCAACATAAATCAATGTTTTAAAAGATGAAATCGGGAATCGAGGTATTTTATCTAATCAAAGTGAGGAGAACAACAATACACAACAAATTCAAAATAAATAATTTGAACATAAATACACAACAACAATCAAGAGTGCCCAAATGTAATATTTTTATCATCCTCAGATTGTCTCATTATCATTTTCAAAATATTTTTCAATTATAATATTTTTTCTTACTCTCTATATCAATTAACATTGCATTAAATATAGTCTCATCTAAAAACAATAAATTAATAACACAAGAAAGTAATATATTATGATTTTACCTTTTATTCTATTTTTTTAAGCCTGAATTAACATTGCATTAAATTAACATTGCTTCTTTTAAATGACTATGAAGTAGAAGTTGCTCCCAATTCAATAGCTTTTTTAATGTTAGTAGTGATATCTTCATTCTACTCATTATTAATGGTCATTCCATCATCTTTAACTTTAAATCTTTCGCTATTTGTTTGATATATTGATTTATCATCAAATAGTATATCATCAACAACCAAAAGATCCATTTAATCGTCACAAATTCATTGCCTCTATAATTTAATGTGTCTATCTTTCATTTTTTATTACCTATTGCATAAACCAACTTGTTCATTCAACCTATAGCCATTAATGCCTTCTCTTTGTATGAACGTGATTGATAGTGCTCTAATTTTCCTCACATAAAAAACCTGAACAAGTAAAGCTAAAAACATGTGCTGAAAATATCTTACATAAAGACAGGCACATCATCTTCAAATTGTGCTCATCAATGCTCTATAATAAAATAAAAAAGAAATTATTGATATATATTAAAGTAGAAAGTTTAAACATAATATTTTAAATTTAAAATTACAGATGAATGTAAATTTACCAAGAGAGCATATCTTGTAGCATGTTTGAGCTACTTTAAATCCAAACATTATATTATTTAAATGAAAATCATAAAGTTCATCATTTGCTTTAAGATAGTCTCAAGGACAAATCTATCCATACATGAATATAAGCCAATCGTAACCTCCTTATTCATATGAAGCTCCTTATCATAATGAAATTAGACATTCAAATAATATGAAGTAGCATACAAATATTGATGTAATTAACAATCCCATTTTTCATGCATAATTTCAAATATTTATTTATAAACATATTCTTGTCCTTCTAAATCTCTTGCTATTTCATTATTCGCCTCATTCATCACAATATCTAAAAATACTTTATTTTTATGTTCATTTGCAAAAGATAGAAGACGAATTGCTTGGAGTTAATATTCTCATCTTCATACACATTCACTACAAATATATCAATTAGCCCCGGGTTCCTCCAGTGGAAGAAAGCAAATGACTTCAACTACTACAACCATCTAGTTGGAAACTAAAATAAGAACTATTATCAATCATCTCTTCCATATTTTTTTAAGTCATTTCTTTGGCAATGGCATACTTCTTTAAAAATTCAACACATTTATTTTTAACTTTATCTAGTACTTCTTATATGCTCCAACAATTATATGTGTGCAAGCGAATTAATATTTAAGTCTCGAATGAACTTTAAGGTGCACCTCGAGGCATGCACCTAAAACAATTTTTTAAATTGTCATAAACCAAGAGGAGGAATTCTTCTAAATGTTTTCTAAAGGAATAATGTTGAGTCATATTGGCTTTATTAAAAGACTGGCATATGGTCAACCAAAATTTAACTAATCAAGCATAATGTGCCCGTTTCAATAAAATAAAGAGCTATTTAGTTTGCATACATCCAAAAGATATGAAGCAAACCGGTAAAGTGGAAAAACCATGTTAATCCCCTGCTTAAGATCATCTTGAAGAATGATATTCAAGATCAATTTAGACAAGTGGTCATCCTTGTGAAACTACAAAAGAGATAATTATTCATACTATAGTCATTTTAGCCACAATAGCAAAAGCATATGCATAATCAACCCCATATTCTTGATTGTTATCAAGGACAACTAAGTATATCTTATAGCAATTCAGAGTGCCATCAAAGTAAAAAGCCTGATCGAGTAAACCCATTAACAACCAAAAGCTTTAACATTAGGAGGAAAACAATCCTCAAGAGCTTTAATTGTTCAGTCATAGCCTCCTTCTAGCAATCATGTTTACTAACCTCTGAGCAAAAAAAGGAATGGGAATCAAAGCCAATGTAGTGTAAAAGCCAATCCAACTTAAAGGAAGAGATATTCTAGAAGATCGTCTAAAAACAATGATCGAATTCTAGCTACCAAGCTCTAGTGGTAGATCATTTTGCATGGTCTTAGATGACGGGTTTGGGTCAAAAAGTAGTAACGTCGTGCTGGACATCTTTTTCACATATAAATTCAGGTTTGAACCGCTCAGCAATAGAATTTATTGATCAAAATTAGGAATTACATATATCTCTAGCAGATGCTAAACATGAGTAGGAAATAATCATTCAACTTTGGGTCCACTTGTCAGTATTTTATCTCTCACCTAATCATGCATAATACAACTATAATGCTGAAATCAAATATCACAGTTATTAACAATTAATTTTCCTACTAAGATTAGTAAAAAGCTTAAAATATACAAGGAAATCTTTCCCAGAAGAATTAATTTCCCCAATAGCATTAATTGGTAAATTAACTGCAATAAGAAAATTTAAATAGAGGATCATGATATGGTTGACTATTATGAAGAATATGCAAGGAACCAGCATATGATTCGATGCACTAGAATCCACAAGCCAAAATGGAGGTAGAGCGTCTATAGCTTGTAGCCCTACGTCTGTAACTTGTAGCCGTAAGGCTGATAGGGCTTTAATTATCATTTGTTGAAGCACTTCAAGAAGAAGAGCATAATTATCCATAGTGATGGGGACATCAGATCATCATGGAAAGTTTACCAGCGACATGGCCGCTGATCTACGGCCACGACCGATTCATTATATTTTTGAGTCGATGTATTTTATTTTCATGCATTTTATTATTTGCTTATGTGTGTTTATTTATTTTCCCTTTGTACCCTTTTGTATGGGAGTGGTCATGTGTAAGCCTAAGGGCATTTGTGTCATGTCAATTAGAGTCTTTTGTATGAGGCTATTTAAAGCCCCTTTGTTTTATTTTCAAGGCAATGGATGATTATGATGAAATTTGTTTCCTGCATTTTGCTTGAGAGCCTGTGAGAGTTCTTGGAGAGAACTTTGGAGAGATCCCTAGGAGAGAGAGACCGGATCACCCACCAACCTTGGAGACGGCCAGGTTCGTGGTATTCTTTATCTTCTCATTTTCCCTTTGGCGACCTCGTACCCCACTCCACCTGCCGCCGGATTCTCTTCTCTAACCGAACCATCAAATCCCCCCACAAACCTACTGCTACCTCTCCACACCCAAACCTTCCATGCCGCCGGTTCCAAAGCACTAGCCGCCGGCCTCCCCTCCGCCTTGCCACTTTTATTGTATTTCCTAATTTAGGATTGGATATATTTGGGGCTTTGAAATTCAAATGCACTTGAAT